GTTCGGCAGTAATAGTATTTCCATTCTTCCTGTTATTGTCCGCAAAGGGGGTTGGAGTGGTGAGGAAGAGGGAGACGACGAATGCGAGCCCGAAGCTTTGCCGAGTTTTGCCGAAGTACACGCTGCATTGGTGAAAGTGAAGTCGTTCTTTTATGCGCTTAATATTAGTGAACGTGACGAAGAAAACATTTTGAACGTGGAAAGTGCTCTGTTTGGTCTAAAACGTAAAGTTTCAACAAACCAGTTGTCCATTAAAGACTTTTTTGGTAAAAAGAAGTAACTTTGAAAGAGAAACATTGTTTTTTTTTAAATTTGTAATGCTTTCCCGCATCTATCGTTTTCCCGCATTCATCGTTTTTATTTCCCACCCCCGCCGAAAACGATGCATCGAGGTTTCACTGTAATACAAAACAAAAATATTATGGTATTTAACAGGGCATAAAAGGTATGTATTTTACAAAACCATATTTATGTAACACCTCACTAGACTTTGATTCACTGGAGTAAATTCCTGCCATGTATTGTTTTTCGTAACTTGCGTCTGATTACTACGGAGTGTTGTATGATGTGCGGCGACTGATAAAATCCCTTTAAATGCCATCTAGTGATTGAAGCCAAAATCACATTTTGCTATATTATCCAGTTTTGTTTTCTTCTCTTTTCAGGCATGGGTTAGGCAGAACAGACTTCTTCATTTTGAATGACCCACACTTGTCTTTTGTGGGTGTGCTGCGCAAACACCTTGTCTTGGATCAGCCATTAACCATGCAAAAAGAGGGTTTAAAACTGGAGACAGATATGAAATTTGAACGACCAGAAGATATTCTGAGAACTGACAAGAATGAGATAATTGTCAAGTTGGAGAAAGGGGAGGGTACTTTAAAAATCGAAAAGATAGGTGTGAAGAAGGAAGCAAAGCTATCTGAAACTGTAGGGCAAGTAAAACCTGAGAAAGAATTGTCTGTTAAGGAGGAAAAGAATGAGGTTGCATTAACACTAGTCAAAAGCAGTATAAAATGTGAACAGGAGGATTTCTTGGCAGAAGATCAGAATGAGTCCACGGAAGAGCTGGTGAAGAAGACTGCCAGTGAGAATGAAATAGAAACAGGAGAAGAGAAGGAAGAGACAACAGAATCAGATACAGGTAGAGATACACAATGTATCAGCACAGACACTGGTCAGGAAATGGGAAGAAAGGATGAAGAAGCTGAAAATGCAGAACTGGGAGAAGAAATTACCAAGGAGAACAGCATAGAGAATAAAGATAATGAAAGTATAGTTGAAGTACATAGTGAGTCATCAGGAAATCAAGAATCATCACAAGAACCACAGAAAGATGATGAAGAAGAATCGCAGGATGATATAAAACATGAAACTGATAGTAGTAGCAAAGACAGCTTGGAGAAATTGGAAGAAGTAGAAGAAAAGATGGAAGTAGGGCCAGATAAAGAGCCAGATGGTACTACCGAAACAGAGAAGAGTGTGGAAGAAGATAAATGTGATGACTCTGATGTCAAAAAGGTTGATGTAGCAGAAACCAATGAGAAAGACAAATTAGAAGAAGATAGCAAGGAAGGAAGCTGTGAAGAGAACGCGGCAGTAGAAACGAGAGAGTCGGCTGAGGCTAGCAGCTTGGAGGAGAAGAGTAGAGTGCGGTCGTGTGAGAGTGACATCGTGTCAGAGAACAGTTTGAAGGGGGAAGAGTCTCTGGATGCTATGCCCCTCACTTCGAAGAAACAGACCAACTGCAACTCTAACTCTCAAGCTGCTGAACTGAAAGCCATGTTTCCTGACTTGGAGGTCATACAACCTCTGTCACATCTTGCAGAGGTAGACGCATATGTCCTTGGAGGGAAACAGCCCAGCATTAACAGTGGAGAAGTTCTGGATTACTCTGAACCTACTGTAGCGCAGTTGCTAGCCCAGAGCTATCAGAACCCAATCAAATGGCCCAAGGTAAGATAACAAATTGCATAAAATCTATTTTGTATTTGTTGGAGTTTTGTACTAACTGAACAACATAGGACACTGGTTCTGGTAAAGTGAATGCAAGAATGTTTATTTTATTCTGTTCATTATCCAATTAGCTGAGACATTTTAATGTTATGCTTGCATTTTTGGCTTTAATATTTTTTGGCCTTAAATCTGACACAGCATTTTTAAAGACTTTTAATTGGGAAATGGCTAGTTCAGAATAGGTTCCAGTAGTAGGTTTGTTGTCACCATGGTGAAGAAACTGGGTTTTGTAAAAGATAGGAGATTTCTAGACTAGCTGAGCACCTGTTGGCTTCTCCCGTCCCATCAATTTACAGATGTAATTTATTAAATGAAAATTGTTCATAAGGTAAAATTCATAAAATGAAAATGAAATTTCCTATTCATTTCAATATAGAAAATTCTGACTGGTTCCTAATCTCAAAATAGTCACCCAGTATTTTCCCACATATGTTACAATACTATACAGTCATATAAATTAGAACAGTATTACTTTTTTATGATAGTTGTTACCTGTTTAACCCATTAGAGTTTTAAGTATTAAATTAAATATTTTTATTGTACAGCAGTTTCCATAGTGGCATTATAAACATTAGAACTTTACACCCATAGCTAGATGGGAGAACACATTCTCTTGAAGTTGGAAACAGGCCGTTGACCTATTTCCTTGAAGCGGAAGAAGAAGACATAGGACTTGTAGCAAAAATATGTAAATGTAAAGTTCATAAATTGATGGATAGATGTGCAAGTAATGTCTGGTGGATTTCCGCAATGTTTCTCTTCAGGATCATGTTTTGGAGGTGCGTCTGCAGCACATAGTGCATGCTGTTGAGCACAAGGAATGGCCTGTTCCACGCAACTTCAGTGCGTACAACACGACCAGTATTATGTTGGGAACGAGTGGAGAACTGGATCTGAGCTGCCATGACACTCCTGATGCTACACCCAAGAGAGACACCTCAACACCAATGTCCGTGTCAGAGGGTTCAGAAGTTATCACCATTACTACTGATCATGGTACTCCCAGACTTCCTCCAACAAAGAAGAGAAAAAGGCACATAGCAATAGATGTAGAAACAGAGAGAGGTAAGAAAACAGCATTGAGTAGTCTGGAGGCATGCTGCCTCCGTCATTAGGCTGATAAGTAAGCTGTATGTAAGGAATCTGTTTGAGATATGGGAACCTGTCAGGCACGGAATAACTAATGAGGAGGATCAAGTGAGGGCAAGGGAGCCAGTGGGAGATGGGTTGACCAGTCTAGAAAGAAGGGGGGGACAGCTTTAGTTCAGTTATGAAAGAGAGGACAGGAGGGTGGAAAGGAATGGTCTTTATCACGGCCCCTTGGGGACCAGTGGGAAATCACCAAGCACAAGGGAATGGGGATTGGAGGAGGAAATAAAAGAGGAATGATATGAAGGCTGTAAAGAAGGAAAATTGGAAGAATATAGGAAAATAATAAGGAAAGGAAAAATATGTCACTGTTGGTGTTTAGAACTATCATAGAAATTATAGTATTGCATACAAAGAATGGTGTTATTTAATGAATATTTGAAAATTTATCCTCTTATGACATTTCTTTGTAAAATATCCTTTAGACCTGCACGTGAATGTAGATGGCTGTCTTCTGGGTTATAGTGCCACGTAGTCTGGTAGATGTTTACCAACACTTTGTAGGGCCTTGCTGCCTCCATCATCACATTGATTATCACCTGCCAGACTTCTTTGTGCTACAACCCAGAAAACAGCCATCTTCATACTGCCATAGAACCTCAAATCCTACTTTGCTAACACATCTTCAGGAACACTTCTGTTGCATAAGTTGGAGGATAATTGTGTATCTTCCTTCATACAGAGAGAATGCTCTCCATAAAAGATGCATTAAGGCTTAAAATGGACAAATTGTTACAGAGTTTTCTGCATTTGGTCCTGATTTTTGAAATGCAGTGTTTATATATTACAGGTAATTTGTACATGTCTTGTCTTGTTTGTTACAGCTAAATTGCATGCATTGTTGAATAGCAGTGCTACTAGTCAGCAACCCCCTCCACTAACTAAACCATCACCATCACATCATTGGGAAACCAATGAAGAATCATTATCAGAAGAATCCAGGTTAGTATATGCTTTATCAATTAACTGTTCTTTAACTATCCAAAAATAATTGAAATACACAATCTTCATGCCTGTTGCCTGACTCCCCAGTAGATATATCACTGTGTCAGTAAATTTTAACAATTTTTTTTGTAGAGCAATATTTGTTCTTATTTGAAATAATTATGGAAATAATTCATGGTTGTTGACATCTGTAGTTCTATCAGAGCTACAAAAGTGATACAGAACCTTTTGTATTAACAATTCATTACTTGAAGATTTCTGTCTTCTGGGTTGTTGCGCTGTGTAGTCTGGTCGATGTTAACCAACGTTTCAGAGGTCATACTGCCTCCGTCATCATTCATCGCCCTGATGATGGAGGCAGTATGACCTCTGAAACGTTGGTTAACATCGACCAGACTACACAGC